GGGGAAGTGGCTAGCAGGGATGTACGGGAGCAGGCTGGTGGGGGAGGTGGGGTGGCAGGGGGGTGAAGGGGGCCAGGCTGGTGGGGGAGGAGGGGTGGCAGGGGGTGTAGGGGGCCAGGCTGGTGGGGGAGGTGGGGTGGCAGGGGGGTGTAGGGGGCCAGGCTGGTGGGGGAGGTGGGGTGGCAGGGGGGTGTAGGGGGCCAGGTTGGTGGGGGAGGTGGGGTGGCAGGGGTGTACTGGGGCCAGGCTGGTGGGGGGGGGGCTGGCAGGGGTGTACGGGGGCAGGCTGGTGGGGGAGGTGGGGTGGCAGGGGGGTGTAGGGGGCCAGGCTGGTGGGGGAGGTGGGGTGGCAGGGGTGTACTGGGGCCAGGCTGGTGGGGGGGGGGGGGGGGGCTGGCAGGAGTGTACTGGGGCCAGGCTGGTGGGGAAGGTGGGGTGGCAGGGGGTGTACTGGGGCCAGGCTGGTGGGGGGGGGGGAGGTCTCCAACAATACTTACTCTATACTTTTCCAATACAAATAACAGTGTTAAAGAATTATCAGACGGAAAACTGGTTGTCTGGGTGCGCCTGAGCAGATCATCATCCATCAAGCGGACACAACTAATGCAATTTGTAAAATATATATAATAACCCACACACACAAATTATATATATATATATATATATATATATATATATATATATATATATATATATATATATATATATATATATATATATATATATGTATATATATATATATATATGTATATATATATATATATATATATATATATATATATATATATATATATACAGTATTTATGTGATTCATCTGAGAACGTCGACCGAGTCACGTTAAAGTTTGACCTTCGTAAAAGCCAACAAAATAAACGGGGAAAAAAGGCCAACATCCCTGGAAGGTTATTGGAAAAAATGGATGAGACTGGTGGCGACTTGTCCAGGATAACAAAGGCACCTCTGGAGGACAGCTCCACTACTGGAGTGAAGGATCACATATGAAAATTAAAATGGGCCATTGATTCGCGACTCTTGTATACGAGCCTTTCACCGGCCACGACCAACAATCAATACACTATGACCTTAAGGAAGGAGCTCAGAGTTTCAACACGAAGCCTTGCGATACTTCACTTCAAAATTACAAGCACACACACATACAGGTGTGTGTGTGTGTGTGTGTGTGTGTGTGTGTGTGTGTGTGTGTGTGTGTGTGTGTGTGTGTGTGTGTGTGTGTGTGTGTGTGTGTGTGAGTGTGTATGTGTGTGTGTGTGTTGTTGTGTTGATTTAGGGGCGACGACGATCGTGGGATCGGATGCGCCCGTATGTGTGTGTGTGTGTGTGTGTGTGTGTGTGTGTGTGTGTGTGTGTGTGTGTGTGTGTGTGTGTGTGTGTGTGTGTGTGTGTGTGTGTAGTAACGTCTAGTATCACTTACCTATAACCGTTACTATACTGTACAGCTGCACAGTCAGGTTTCATATATCTATTAATTTTGATTTTATATACTAGTTTGTTATAATAGTTATAACATAACCTTATACACCATGATATACTGATCCGTTTCTTTGAGAAACGGATTGAGAGGATGCATGATCCTGTATGGTGTATTTCAGAAATTCCCTCACCATTGTTATTACTGCATGAAAAAAATATTCTTCATCCTATGCTGGAGTGGGGAGGCCTACTGTGGGGATGAGTAAGGAACAATGAGCAGTGAAGCAAAGTCACAGTGATCTGAGGCAAGTCACAGTGATCTGAGGCAAGTCACGGTGACCTGAGGGGGGCACAGTAACCTGAGGGGGGGACACAGTGACCTGAGGGGGGACACAGTGACCTGAGGCAGCAGTGACAGTGTTATCAGTGGGGTCCGACAGGGGGCCAAGACTGGCGTATTTCTTGTTCCTGATCTATTTACAATGAACTTCCAGAAGGGATTCATTTCTTCTTCCCAATGTCAACTGATGTTTCATAAACTGACGAAGCTGGATGCTTTCAACTGGACACCAGATGCAAAGTTCTAAATTAGAGGAAACATTCCTGGAACCCAGCAGTGAAAACTCCCTTGAGACTGATGACACACATCGCATCACTCATCAACTGCACAAGCAACTTGGCTAATATGAAAACTGACTAGAAATATGAATTCGGATTTAATCAAGACCTTGTTCACTATAAATGTCAGACCAATTCTGGAATATGCAGCACCGGCGTGGAATTCTTATCTCGTTTAGCTCTAAACATTACGAGATAAAGTTGAGAGGTATGCCACCGAACTAGTACCAAAGCTGGGAGGTATAAGTTATGAGGAAAGGCTAAAGAAATTAAACCTCATGACATTAAATCATTGAAGATTTAGAGAAGACATGATTACCACAAATAAAAGTGTCAGAGGGCTTCACAGGGCAGACAAGGACATGTAGCTGGAATGGGTTATACGAGAGTAAGTAATTATCAAAAGAAGGCGCCAAGCCGGGTACAGTGTAGCACCATACCTTACCTTGAGGTGCTTCCGGGGCTTAGCGTTCCCGCGGCCCGGTCGTCGACTAGGCCTCCTGGTTGCTGGACTGATCAACCAAGCTGTTGGACGCGGCTACTCGCAGCCTGACGTATGAGTCACAGCCTGGTTGATCAGGTACCATCAAATGGGTTGTACGAGAAGGGGATGAAGGTGGACACTAACTGCCAAACTGAACCAGAGGCATTAAATATATCTGATATCAGTCAGAACAGTGAAACAAAGTAACATCAAACAGTAAGTGGTGGAGGCACAGCTTCAAGAGTAGATAAGAGGCCACAGAGACTCGGGAATCTGAACACCAGTTTATTTGAGAAGCTTGAGGAGCATGAGTGGCGGGACCAAAGAAATGAAGACTAACCCAGGCAAGCACAACTAGGTGATAATTATGTGAGAAGAACACGTCTCCACAACCTTCTACTTCCTCCACCTTCAGACAAGTAAGGTAATTTCCCCTCCATAAGTGTCCACAAGGAATAGAAACATCCGGAGAGCCCTCGTCGCTATCATTTTCTTAATTAAGGAGTCACTGTTTGTGAGTGGTGCTTCTTCAGAGAGGGAAGGGGATCACCACACACACACACACACACACACACACACACACACACACACACACACACACACACACACACACACACACACACACACACACACACACACAATGCCAGATAGAAAAAACAATTTAAGAATCAGGAAGGGAGAAGGATGAAATAGAAGGGCGTGTGTGCGGATTAGAGAAGGGGAGAGACACACAGAGAGGTAGCGTGTACTCACCTAGTAACTGTGGTGAGAGAGAGAGAGAGAGAGAGAGAGAGAGAGAGAGAGAGAGAGAGAGAGAGAGAGAGAGAGAGAGAGAGAGAGTATATCAGATAACAGAACACGAATTTAGAGTTTTCACCAAACTAAACCCAGTTAAGTAAAATTCGAGGGTAGTAGCGAAGCCCACTCAGTGGTGACGGGTCACTGTAGCAGTGATACAGTGGTGACCCGTCACTGTAGCAGTGATACAGTGGTGACTGGTCACTGTAGCAGTGATACAGTGGTGACCCGTCACTGTAGCAGTGATACAGTGGTGACCCGTCACTGTAGCAGTGATACAGTGGTGACCCGTCACTGTAGCAGTGCTACAGTGGTGACCCGTCAATGTAGCAGTGATACAGTGGTGACTGGTCACTGTAGCAGTGATACAGTGGTGACCCGTCACTGTAGCAGTGATACAGTGGTGACTGGTCACTGTAGCAGTGATACAGTGGTGACCCGTCACTGTAGCAGTGATACAGTGGTGACCCGTCACTGTAGCAGTGATACAGTGGTGACCTAAACAGGCAGTTGACAAGTCATAACTGCAAGATGGGACACGTAGACCCAGAGAGCAGCCATCAGATGGCCAGCTTAAGCAAGGAACATGTCTAGGCACACACCAGACATATATGGCTGGAGAGAGTTATCATATATACAAGTCTGGCCTTAGTTGGTGAGTGTGCTGTGTCTGTGTGAGACTTGTGTATGTGAGACTGGTGTATGTGAGACTCGAGTGTATGTGTGAGACTCGTGTATGTTTCTCTTGGCCAATCCTTACTTCTCTCTGCTAAGTTAAATCTATTCACGAATTTGAACGAACATTTTCATCTTATTTTCGAAGATGAAATTACATAACAAATAAAAACAAAGGAGCCAAATTTACTTATTACTAATTTTTCGTATAATTATTTTTTAGACATGAATTAACATTCACTTCAACACTGGTGGTATAAATATTATATATTTAGAAGCATTACCTTATTAGCCTCACTCATTCCTCAGTACTGCCTAACAAAACAGTACGACCAAAATCAAATAATTACTAAGTCATTCTCGAGATATTTAAACGAACTCAGCAATGATAAAGTAGAATAAAAAACTCCCAATACGTCAAGCCGAGCCTTGCGCCAACTAGGCAATATATTGAATGTACCTACTTATATAAATATTAAAGAGCCTACACATTTACCTTTAATCTATCGCAGATACTTGTCTGGCGTGATGAAATTGGGTAGGCTTTGAGTGAGGCTCCCGCCGTGCACCCGCCCTTGATGTATTCTCGGGCGGACCGGACACACCCGGCGTAAAGTAATGGAGCAATTAATATTTCAGAGAGAGAGGTTCCAACGGGCGCCTTCCCGAGCCTCCCTGACAGCGTCAACCACCAGCCACCAGGCCGGGGTGGCTGTACCCACCAGGCCGAGGTGGCTGTATCCTCAACCACGCTCCACCTCCAGTAGTCTGGGTGCTTGTGTCAAGCAGTTGTATCTATGTTGTATTTAGAGAGGTTAATATATGCAAATGTTGATATAAAGAGGTACATAGGGGTATCTTTAGGGTTCAGGTGTATTTGCAGGTATGTAGGAAAACTGATGAACCTGCAGGTATGGAGGCGTTGTTGTGTATTCTCAGCAATGTTGGTGTTGGAGTGTATTGACAGTTAAGTAGGCGTTGTGAATGTACTCACAGCTATGTAAGGGTTGGAGTGAGGGTGGGCGTCCTTGTACATCTCACACTCGTAGCAGGGCGCTCGCTGGCCGCCCACGCCCACGGCCAGGCTGCAGGCCACCACCACGCACTTCCACACGCCCATCTGTAAGAACAACGAGACATAAGCGGTGAGCACAGCCACTCAGTCAGACGCTCCCCCGTCCAAACATAGCTGATACACTCACTGTATCTTGTAGTCAAATGTGAAACAGTTAGTGTATACAGTTAATACATACAGTCACAGTTAATACATAGTCACAGTTAATACATAGTCATAGTGAATACATAGTCACAGTTAATACATCGCCCCAGGATGGATCAAGCATACGGATAAAAATTAAAGGTTTTCAACTTAAATACAAATTATTATTATATAGTTTTGTGCATAGTTAGACCAACAGAGTCCAACCACTTGGATGGGACGGAAGGGTGGCGGCCTCGTTTCTTGCAGGTCCGCGTTCAGTCTTCGACCGTCCAAATGGCTGGGCAAAATTCCTTTCCTTATTCCACGCCTAAATCATATCCCGTCCAAATATGCTATATAGTCGTGATCGCTTAGTTTCCTCCTGATTGATAAGCCTAGGTAAGTTTAGGTTAGGGATCTGAGTTGACAGTTAGGCGAGAGTAAGTGTTTACACCAGAGGCTGAAGTATGGTTAGGGGGTAGGTGGAGGGAGGGTGTGTGGGGGAGAGGGAATGGGGAGAGGGGAGAGGGGAGGGGGTGGGGGTGGGTGGGGGGAGCGAAATCCCGCATAAATCAGAATATTGATATCGCTTCTCTCACCCATATTGACACAGAGCATGACGGATGCCCGACAACATATATGTTTGTGTGTGTGTGTGTGTGTGTGTGTGTGTGTGTGTGTGTGTGTGTGTGTGTGTGTGTGTGTGTGTATTCACCTAGTTGTATTTGCGGGGGGTTGAGCTTTGCTCTTTCTACCCGCCTCTCAACTGTCAATCAACTGAGAGTGAGTGAGTGTGAGTGTGAGTGTGTGTGTGTGTGTGTGTGTGTGTGTGTGTGTGTGTGTGTGTGTGTGTGTGTGTGTGTGTGTGTGTGTGTGTGTGTGTGTGTGTGTGTGTGTATGTGTGTGTACACACACGGTGTCCCGTGTATAAGTCTAGCAGGGTACATATAACACACAGTTGAAGAGTTTCAACACAGCTGTGGGTGTGTTACGTCACATGACTCTGCCACAGTTGGCTGCAGTGTGTGAGTGTTGAACACAACTGGGGGGCGGGAGATGGACACTACACAACACAAGGGTTAGATTAAATGTAATTTGTCCTGTACATAAAACAGTTCAATATTTATTTTTGAATCCGTTACATATATGAAGAGGCCAGAGGTATCATCCATGACGTTGTCACCATTTTTTAGAACTTCTTTTTATGAGAAAATCAGTAGGAGTCACGAGGAGGATACGAAAGCATGCTCTGGGTACTGCCAAGCATACACCTTAGACCACTCCACCATGACGTGGTCAAAAGTCATGCAACCTTTAGCATTCTCATACTGATTTTCTCATTAAAACATCACGTTAATGGAATTTCTTTGTCCATTTGAAGGTTTTTATATCTTTTATTTTCACCCCCAAATTCACATAACATTGATCTAACAATATATTTATTTGTTAATCCTCTTAATTGCTGGATATTGTACCCTCGTGCCGCGCCACATCTGGCACAGTTTGTGGCTGATAATACCGTTTGTGGTTACACCGCTCGATAAAATGACCCGTTTTTTTACGATGGCTCAGAGCCTAGACGATAATGGCACGAGGACTCCTGGAAACACCATTTATTGCTTCTCCTGGGGACCATAGCAAGGTAACAGGACGTACTGGGTTCACACTCCCGGGGCCTGAATTTATTAACGATTCTTTTTCGTTCATAGCTGTGGATAGATACATTTGAAGCATTGACAACGGGGTCAGTGTAAGCTTAGGGGCAGCAGGGCGGAAGTCATCAAAACTACGATGATTGTTCTCTGTATGGACCCTGAGAGGGGCCCCTATTTGGTCAGCTATAGTAGTGAGAATGTTATAATGATGACCACCGTGGACAGTGAAGATGTGACCCTTGCAGCACTTTTCAACCCCCCGAGGGTGTAACCTAGGTTTCATCTCCGCTTCATCACTTGTGTAACGAGCTATCGATCAGCTACTCTCACAATGGATGAAGAAGGAGATCAAAAACCCGTCGTACAGGTTCAGAGGCGAGGAAGCCAGCCCGCAGTCCGCACAATTGTCACTGCTGCCTCCCAAATTCTCACTCAAATTCAACTTGTTGCGATATATTTTTCTTGGTTGCGTGTTGACCGCCAGTTTCGGCCAACGGGTCTTGTGTGTTTTTGAGTGGGTGAAGGGAGGGAAGGTTGGGAGGGGGTTGGGAGGGAAGGGAAGGTAGGAGGGGAGAGGGAGAGGAGTGACTAAAGTCTGGAGTGTGAAATCACCAAAGTTCTCGCCTCTCGTTATTGGCTTGGCAGCTAAATGAAATATTTTCGACAGTTCAGGAAAAGGATTCTCCTGTGTTCGTCGTTAACTATTCCTGAGAGTAATCACAACTCAGTAACTTTGCCTGGGGTGACGACCAAAAACTGAGTCGTAATTAAAAGCCTCACTATGTTCTCTCTCTCTCTCTCTGTCTGTCGTTATCTCTCAGCGTACAGTTGAGCTCTAAATTAGCAGTGCTGTTTTATTCACACCCAGTGATGCCTTTGTTTGGTGTGGCCAGAACCCATGATAACAGTGCCTAGTGTGGACGGAGGCCATGATAACAGTGCCTAGTGTGGACGGAGGCCATGATAACAGTGCCTAGTGTGGACGGAGGCCATGATAACAGTGCCCAGTGTGGACGGAGGCCATGATAACAGTGTCCGGTGGGGGTCAGAAGCCATGATAACCATGTCTGGTTATGTTATTATTATGAATATTAACAGCTTGTTATATTCAGAGTGACACCTTTGTTTGACATTCTCTCAGATATACTCATATCCGACTTTGTTGTGGCCAGAAACACTGATACTTGTAAGGTATGGTTACCATCTCTAATGCTGCTGTTTCATAATGTCAAGGTACGGGTGCTTCTGGTGTCAGACGCAGTGGTGCTAGTGGTTCACTGAGTGACAGTGGTGCTGGTGGTTCACTGAGACAGTGGTGCTAGTGGTTCACTGAGATAGTTGTACTGATGGTTGACGGTGTGAGGCGGGTCGGGAGCAGCAAACCGGTGCCCGGTACAGTACCGGTGCGACTGGGGACACCCGCCCTTACACGGGTATCCGGACATTACCGTAATCTCAAACCCGGTCATTAATTAGACATGAAAGGCTTAAGCATCATTGCTTAGTTTCCTCTGAGGCCGAGGCATTAGTAATTAACGAGATCAGATGCATTAATATTCATTATATATAAGTAGAATACCAGGGAATATTCTGGGCGGGTGAGCGAGGCGCCACACAGGACTAACACAACGGCTTAATTAACTTCCTATTTTCAATGTTTTCGCTGCAATTTCCAGCTTGCAGTTTTCACGGTGCGAGAAACATCTAATTTTCCTGTTGTTGCAAACATAAGGTTGTGAACCTACAGTTACCCACCTGACCTATGGAGCCCAGAGAACATTGTCCTTGGAAAGCGTACACTGATAATACTTATATTATACGTCTGTATACAGGTCACAAATATAGAAGTACTTATCGATATAAGAGTTGTCAGGGATACATATGGTATAATTAACAATGGTAGCATGACGTTGGGAGGGTAGTTAGTGTGGGTATATGTACACAGCCCCGATAGTCAAGACCTGTTATAGGCACACTGGGTTCCCAGAGGACCTGCAGGGCTCGGGCACCACACCATAACCCTTCCCTCGTCCTTACAGTCTTATTTTATGTGGTTCGGAGATCCTCTGTTCTTGAAGAAATGATTCCTCTTCCTGAATATGTTTGGTGATGAGCGTGTTAGTGTGCGTATATAACACATTCATTTTTTACATTGATAAATGCCGACTAAAATTACTTGTGCTTCCAGTGTTTGTCCAAGTACGTAAGTCACCGTGCCTGCCGGTTTATTGACAAGTTCTAAACTCTGTTACTAGAAGAACACAACAAAATTTGACACGGCAAATCAACAAAATCTAAGTCATATATTCACCAAATATGAAATGATTCACTTCTGTCTTTCTCTCTATCACTTAAAAGGTAATAAATGTACGACAGTGAGAACACCATCAGCATCAAGGCGGGAATGTGTGAAGCCCACCTGGGAGCGCTCCATCAGGCCGCCCGGCCTCTTCATACACCACGCCCTCCACAGTCTGTACCTAACCGAAAAAGCACACACCCAAGCAACCCACATAACCTAAACAACCGGTACATTAAAGACGTACATATTTGTAAGGCACTATTTTTAGTAGTACGTCGTAATATCTACGTTGGGGATGAACAAAATGAGGTGCACAAGTTGAGAAGGCGCGGGGTGAGTGACACAGTACACAGAGGAAAAAAATATCCTGCGTCAAAGATTTTCTTATAGATCACGTTATTGTAATGTCAACGTGTGTAGAAGTCAACCACTTAATGAACTGGTTTCCGCCCAGTCACCGCCACGAGGACACCCCAGAGACGTCGGTTTGTCTTCCAATATAATTGTTTACCGTTGTGAGTCAATACTGAGAGGCGTCCTCGACTCAGCGTCCGATAATACCCAGTAATGATAATACACAGTAATGATAACCAGTAAAGATAATACCCAGTAAGGATAACCAGTAACGATAATAACCAGGAACTTCTAAAACGCGCGTTAGTTATAACAGCCGCAGCAATTAACGATATGGAAAAGGTTATAATTTGAGAGAAAGTAGTCGTTTGCTTGAGACTGTGGAGATAAGGAGAGAAGTTGGAGCCGGGGATTAGGACGGGCAGGTAACTTGGGGGCTACGAGGCTGTTAACTGCTTCACTTGTAGCCTCACCTACACCTGTAGCCTCACCTACACCTGTAGCCTAGCCTACACCTGTAGCCTCCCCTACACCTGTAGCCTACCCTACACCTGTAGCCTACCCTACACCTGTAGCCTCCCCTACACCTGTAGCCTCCCCTACACCTG